GCTAATTTCTTTCAACAAATGATCATTGCTTTTTATAAGTCATTGTCTAACATTACTTTCACCAGAACCACACTTTAACGCTATAATCCATGATGCAGTTGCCAAGGTATTATAGCATATTCTGTTCTAGAAAATGATATACTACTTGATTTGGCATTTTTCTAATGAAAGTTCAACCTGGACTTTCATGTTTGAACCAAAATAATGGACAATCCTCATCTTTTATATATATATATGTATGTATGTATGTATGTATGTATTTGCTCTAAATGGTCACATGTCATATTCTTACATTTGTTCATGATTATCCATCTTTGTCGCCCTACATACAGATATCATACCGAATCAAGAGATGCCTTTTGCATCAACTTCATAATGGCATCTATGGCTTTCTATGTCAGCCTACACAACCACGGCATTCTATTCATAGGAGTCATATTTCAATATGTGGTTGGATTGAAGACTCTGCATGACTTCAATATAGCAGACAAAATTACATAGATTAATCTTTACTGATCATTTAAGGATGTCATCATGAGCATGCATAAGTTGGCAGACAAGTTGACACAATGGCATGCAACCAAGCCAATCACAAAAATAATTCATTTTCTTCTTCTTTTCTCCTGCCATTGCTGTAGAGTTTATAGGCCTAAAAATTCATGTGCTACCACCTGATAAATTCATGTGCTTAAAGATGAGCTCCAGGCTATGGCAGAGCCCAAAGCCTTGCCACAGCATCTGTGCTTTGCCATGAAGCAGCGGCTAGCTGTATACTGGGATCGTCTAAACTGGGACGATCTCGGATGCTTAAGCCATGCTCATTAGCCAAATAATGCAACAGACAGGTGAAACACAGATGGGGTTTGGATATTGGAGTTTGCAATTAGATTAAACCCACAATCTATGTGCTTCAAATGAGGTTGACTGAGTGAGGAGATCAGCTCAATGCCCTCGATGAACAATTAGTTAAGCTTTCAATGAATTCGGTTTTAATTTCTTCTATGTCATTCTAATAAATAAAACCATAATATTAGGTCGAAGAAACAACTTGACAGGTTGGTTATCCTTTGGATAAATTGGCATGTCATTGGAGTTAACACTTAAAAGACGTGAATTTGTAAGAGCTTACGCGTATAATATTTTTTTAAGGCAGGTAAATAGTAGGATAAGAGAGTTTAAGGAAACATTAAAAATTAAAAAAAAAATACTAATTAATATTCAATACTACAATCACTTTATATCTAAAATTTTATGCTTTTTTTTTTAATGTTGATAATGTTGGTAACTAACTAGTAATTATATATAAAAAAAAAATTTAATAAAAATAAAATAAAAAACTGAGAAAATTAAAATTAAAAGCTTAACTACATTTTGAGGGATTATTGTTCATGATCAACATATGGGCCGAGGTGACTAGTTCAAATGCTTCTTTCAATAGGCTTGGGTTATCTTACCTTGGGCCTTAAAACATGTACATGGCCATACCAAGAACAAGATTAGGAATGTGGCCCCAACCCAATCCCACAATTTGTCAAAAAGCAATCCCTTTGGATTTTTTTTTCTTTTTTTTTTTTTAAATCTTGGAGGGCAAAATGGTTTTCTTTTTAAGGGGGAAAAAAAAGGAAGTTAATTAATTTCTTTGTCATGTTCTATTTCTTCTAATAACTAGGTATCTTTAATTAGTATATGGGTTAATAGAAAGATATTAACTAGAATTTTTTTATTATTATTACATGATGAGTATAAAATAGAAAATTGATTGCTTCAATATTAACAATTAAAATAATCTACTTTCATTTTTTTAATAATATGATCAAGGGTATTATGAGCTTTGATCAAAAAAATAAATTTTCATTTGTGGAATTTAAAATTGTTCAAGAAAAAAAAAATAATGAAGTGTATAATTACAATAATTTACATAAAAATTTTGCATTATTACCCTTTTTTTTATTTTTAAACTTAATATTTCCTTTGTTTTAAAAAGTGTGAAGGTAATTACAATAATTAATCAAAATTTGCATTTTATGCATAAAAATTTACATGTTCCAAAGCCCAAATTATTAAATTTTTCTTCATTCAAATGTGTTTAATTTGCATTACATGGAACAAAGGTTTAAGTAGGGAAGAAGTTTCCAAAGTCATTGTCATGGTGGTAGAGTTGCATCTTTCTCAATGGTCTAAAGTCTAAACTATCGATTTGGAAGCATTTAAAATACCCCATTCAAGTTGATAAACTCATGTGGTTTTTACCTTCTCATCTTGTAGTTTTTCCCTTTTTTTTTCCTTGGAGAAAAAGCAATCCATGAAAATTAGGGCTCATTTTTCTAATTTCAACCTTCTCCTTTTCTTGTCATATGAGATTCTTTTAAATATTTTATTTTTTGTCCACAAATTATAAATAGTTTAAATATAGTAAATGTGAAGCATATGACTTGATTTTTTTTTTTTTTGACAAAAGATAAAAGCTTAGTCCAACAAAATGGCTAATCATGTTTGTTAAAGGAGGTAAATTTTCTCAAAAAAAGACAATTTGATCACAAAAAATTACTATAGATGGATTTTTTTCTACCACATAATTAATCACATTAATCACATGTTGATCGTGATATTAATTTTAAAAATTTGTTTGCTTGGATTAATACATTTTTTAAAATTTTTAATATATTCTTAAATCTTAACAATTATCTATTTAATTCACCTTAAGATAACATTATGCATTTAAATCCTATCGAACTTGCAACCTAAAAAAAAATTTGATTAATATGCATACCATTTGATTTAATACTCAATTGGCAAATTAATATTAACTTGATTGTGACAAATTCAATTTATTCTTTATATATAATCTAACTTTTGAATTTAATTTTAAATTGTAGATAATAATTTTTTTAAAATAACTTAATCAAATTTAAAATTTTAAAAATAATAAATTTATTTAAGTGACTAATTACGCTTAATCTAGAAAAGGAATGTTCCATCAATAGATTCCATAAATCCGATCCCTATTTCTGGCCAACTTGAGAGAACCATTGAAGTAGGATCAAACCAACCAAAAACAAAAGTATATTTCCATTCATGAGTGATTGAGCCAATTCCACTAAACAAAAATGAACATGTCTTGTATTTTTTAATATAAAATTAAAAATTAAATCAATTTGGTATTATAATTATGAAATTTCATAACTTTATAAAAGCAAGATCAAAGGCTTTTATAAGTAAAAAAAAAAAAAAAAATGTACTGCAACACGCCAAGAGTCACATGGGGAAGCAGATGATATCCTATCAATACACACCAAGAGTCACACGGGGAAGCAGATGATATCCTATCAATTATTATCATAATGTGAGATGAGTGGCTATGGTTGGGTTTGGCAGAGGCCAGAGATTATCCCTTCAAAGATTGATGGATATTTCTGTCATTTAGTACTCAGAAGAAATTTCCTGTATGTACCCTTGCTTTAGACACTGGACCCATTCATAGGACAAATGGCAGATGCTTTGATAGCAGCATACATATATATATATATATATATATATATTTATGAATAATAAAAGTATTTTTATTTTTATCCAAACATTTTTTGATTTTATTTTATAAAGAATATCTTTCATATATAAATTAATAATAATAATAATATTTTAATATTTTAATTATTGGTGATAATAATTTAGATCAAATTATATTTAGTTTAATTTTTTTAAATAATATATAATATTATAAAATTTTAAAATTTAATTCAAATTCAAATCGATTATTTTTGAATTGATCCAATCCAAATTGAATTCTATCGATTCAGTTCGATTCATCGATCTTTAAAACTTAAATTTTTTATTTTTTATATATTATTTTAATAAAAATTTTAATATATTTAAATAAATTTACTTATGAAATAATTATTTTTATTTTACAAAAAATTTAAAAAATATATAAATTGTTTTAGTTCAATTTTTTCGATTTTTTATATCTCAATCCGAAATTTAATTTAAACTTAATATATATATTTAATATTTAAACTTGATTCAAATAAAAAAAATTAATTCAAACCAAATCAAATATTACGATTTTGAATCAATTTTCGGTTCTCTTAATTTTTTTCTTGCTTTTAATTTTAATATGTGATTAAACCAATATAAATAATATAACAATTAGTATTTAAATGTGTGATTTAAATAATTAATATTTATATAGTTAAAAATCTCAAGTTTGAATTTTAATAGTAATAAAAAAGATTAAAAAATGTGTAATTTAAATCAATTCCCATTTTTTCTATGTTGGATAAATGAATGTTTTTGTTGATAATCAAACACTTTTGGAGGAAATATGTGTTAGTAATTCATTGCTAATCTCACATTTGTAGACAAATAAAAAGTCTCGGTCAAGAAACTTTTCAAAAAGGCATGTTATGTACATCAAGAAATTCTTATAATCCAACTAAAATAATAATAACATTAAATTAACAACTTGAAATTTAAGTTAAATGAGGAGAGACATCAAATTTGACATGTTAATTTTTTAATAATCAAACTAAAAAAGTTTTGCTTTTACAGCCAAATTCATGCATCAATCATTCATTCATCATTAAATTAAAAAAATTATTTTATTCATAATCAATAAAATTAATAAATGATATACTATAAAATTTTTTTATTTTTTTATTAATTTATTATTTTTATTTATAAAATTTAAAAATTTTGTCCAAAATAAATCAATATAACCATTAGTCATTATATATAATTTAGATAATAGTATTAAGATACGACTCTTTCCCTCTCAAAATAATTATTATTTATTTATATTTTTAGTAAAAATAATTTCATTTTGATCTTATTTTTTAAAATAAAATATTAAATTAAAATTTTAAAAAATATATTTTAAAAAATTTGAAATTTAAAATTTGAAATTTGAAATTTATAAATTTTTATAAATTTTATTATTTTATTAAAAATAATGGTCATAATTGAGTGAAGAGTATAAATAAATAAATGAATAATCCCTCGACCAAAAGAAATTGTATGGTTAAGCAAGAGGACAACACCACTCTCCTTTCCAGGCGCATGTGTTTTGTGGTCAAACTATAATTTGTCATTCGCTTTCCGTACAAATTGGGATTTCAATCCTTTCCTTAATTCTGTTTACATCAATCGTTTTTTAGTTAAGCAAACAATAACCAAATCTTGGAGGAGCCAACCAGACCAGACCCAGTAGAATCTATAGCCCTTTTGCGCCGAACCACATGGCCTGACGCGGGTCGAAGCTCCCCGTCTCCGGCAGCATCCTAGTGTCCTTCGAGGCTCGTACGGGTTGAAGAAGAAAAAACCCAATAAAACTCTGACAAATACCATCTCTCTTTCTCTTTCTATTTGTCTCGTTTTCGTATGTCTCTGTCAAGTTAATTGTCCTTGTGCCCCCAGAAACCTACCACGAGAAGGCACCAGGGCCACTAGCTTTCTTTAGAACCCACTTCTCTCAACTATAGCCACAATCTCTTCGAAGAACAGACACCACCCTATTTGCCTTCTCATTCACTCCCATCTTATCTATATATCTTCTTCGTCTCTCCTTTCAACTTACACCACCAAAAAAGAAGAATTGGAAAACGGGTTCGAACTTTGGGTGCAGACCAGGTGTTTGATAATAGTCTGATTGAGGTTGGAGAGGTTGGGTATTTGGGTAAAGTAATTTAAAGGGGATTTTGAATTTTGGGTTTTTGGTTTTGGGGGGGTTAACACCCAGGGTTAGACAAATTGTGGACATCACGGCTATACACGGAGTTTCTCGGCCTCTTATTCATGTCCGGGCTGTACGCCGCAAGGGTTGTGTGAACGAGAGCAACCCTTCGCCGCACGGCGGGCGTGGAGCTTTGCCTTCTGAAGGCGGTAGTCCTTCCGATCTCCTCTTCCTTGCTGGTGGTGGTATTGTCTGTTAGGAGTTTCAGTAGTCAATTAAGCTAGCTTTTTAGTCTATAAAAAATTACTATTGAAGAAGCTTTTCTAGATCGCTCGTAAGAAGAAAATTAAAGGCTGTTGTTTTTCGTTGTCTACGTTGTTCTTTGTGGGATTTCTTTATTTGATTTTTTATTGGATAAAGAAAGAGGAAAAGAGAAGTAGTAGCAAAGATGATGCTCAGGATTAAGAGGGTTCCCACTGTTGTTTCCAATTACCAAAAGGATGAGTCGGAAGAGACTGCTCGCCGTAGCGGAGGATGTGGAAAGAATTGTCTTAGAAGCTGTTGCATTCCAGGTATTTGTTAAATTTACTTTTGTAAACCTTTCTTGGTTGGACAAGTTTTTGACAGAATTGAGTTGTAACTGGAACTGGGTTTTGGTATATAGGAGCAACGCTTCCTTTATATGCTTTCAAGAAGGTGAACAATATTGAGAGTGAAAAAGATGTTCTTGGAATTGAGAACAAAGAGCCTCCGGTTGCTTTTCTTGACTCACTCGTTCTTGGGGAGGTAAATTTTGCTATTAAGCTTGTGGGGAATAAGATTTAAGAGCATTGTTATGGTTAATGATTGTTGTGCTTACAAATAGTGAGGTTAAAAATACTTTATGGTTTTATCATAGTGGGAGGATCGCATGCAAAGAGGGCTCTTTCGATATGATGTCACTGCCTGCGAAACCAAGGTCTTATTTTGGGCTCCTTTTCTATTCCTTTGCTTTACTTGTTTATCTGCAAATTGTGAAAACCATAAATTTTATAGTTAATTAAGTTGTTGGTACCATCTAAATTTTCTGTGTTTATCATTCTTTAGGTGATTCCTGGTGAATATGGCTTTATTGCCCAGCTGAATGAGGGCCGCCACCTTAAGAAGAGGCCAACTGAGTTCCGTGTTGATAAGGTACTCCAGCCCTTTGATGGGAACAAATTCAACTTCACCAAAGTCGGGCAAGAAGAGGTGCTATTCCAGTTTGAAGAAAGTGAAGATGGTGAAGTTCAGTTCTTTCCAAATGCTCCCATTGATGTTGAGCATTCTCCAAGTGTCGTTGCCATAAATGTATGTTAGCTCTACTTATTCAAACTGTTGAATAACTTGTTGATCATGAGTGCTAGACTCATATGATTAACATTATTTGTATAAAATTCATCAGGTTAGTCCTATCGAATATGGGCATGTGCTGTTGATCCCTCGAATTCTTGAATGCTTGCCCCAGAGGATTGACCATGAGAGCTTCTTGCTTGCACTTTATATGGCAGTTGAAGCTGGGAATCCGTATTTTAGATTGGGTTACAACAGCTTGGGTGCATTTGCTACAATCAACCACCTGCACTTCCAGGTATCTGACCTCCCAATTTGGTACTCTTCATGTATTTTGTGCCTCCATGATATCTGTTAGATATAGTTCTGTACAATTAGAAAAGAGAAAGGTGGTTTAACTATTGCAATTGCTGCAGGCTTACTACTTGGCTGTGCCGTTTCCCATTGAGAAGGCTCCTAACAAGAAGATAACCACTTTGAAAGATGGAGTGATCATCTCAGAGCTTTTAAAGTATCCAGTTAGAGGTCTTGTCTTTGAGGGTGGTAACACTCTCCAGAACTTGTCTGACACTGTGTCTGATGCCTGTATTTGCCTTCAAGATAACAACATACCATACAATGTCCTCATCTCTGATTGCGGAAAGCGGATCTTTCTCCTTCCACAGGTAACGAACTAGAAGCATAGTTGACAAGTTTTAATCATCTCTATGATATTGTTAATTCTTACAATTGAATTTGCAATACGTCAATTGAACAAATAGTGTTATGCTGAGAAACAAGCTCTTGGGGAAGTTAGTTTAGAGCTTTTGGACACCCAGGTGAACCCAGCTGTGTGGGAAATTAGTGGTCATATGGTGTTAAAAAGGAGGAAGGACTATGACGAGGCATCTGAGGAAAATGCTTGGAGGCTCCTTGCAGAGGTTTCTCTCTCTGATGAGAGGTTCCGTGAAGTCAATGCACTTATCTTTGAAACCATTGCCAGTGGTGAAGATGGCATTGAAAATGTTCCTGAGCTTGAGGAGCCTGATACTAGATCTCAATCTCTTGAAAAAGAGAATGACATCACCAAAAGCTCCCACCAGGCTATGGTGTCTGGGACACAAGAATGCCTTGTTCTGCAGTAAGAATTGGCATTCAGTAAACAGAACCCTGTACCTTCCAGGATCAGTTTCTACTGTTGTCAGTTTGGGATCTAGGACTAGGATTGTGCTTAGAACTTCCATGAATTATGGCACTGGTAGCCTAAATAAGCAAACTTAGTTTGCACTGCTGCAATGATATTCGACTTTGTGTAAACTGCTATATGCTCATCGACTTCAGGATGTTCTTTCTTGGATCATGTAAAATACAATGTAATGTTTGCTGTTATGAGCTAATAAATGCACGTGATGATGTGCTTCATGTAAATAATTGTTTGCTCTGCTGCTGGGTTCTTGGCTACCTAGCCAAGTAACTGGTTTTGTGTAACAGGACACATGCAAGTTTACTGGTTTCTTTAGGGGACAAATGTTTGGTAATAAGGATGACACCCGAATTATGAAACTGGTAGGTTTGGATTTGTAATGTAAGCAGAAAATATAGTTGATCTGATCCAACCTACCAATAATTATTGATCTTCATGGGACAAAAGTAACGAAACGTAAAAAGGAAACCTACCCATTAAGCACGTTAATGTGGGGTCTAAACAATGAAAATATCTTTTGACTTATGAGCTTCACGTGTTTTTCATGGATCCTATGAAAAATATTGTGGGTCTTGTAGATGAAAAGAATAACAATACCCATTTATTTATATATATAAAATTTTCATTGGTGTTTTTATTTTTTGCTTTTTATCTTTTGTTTTTAGTTGAATCAAAAGAGTTATAGATTTGATAGAATCAAATGGGTATTGTATTTGATAGAATCAAAATTAAAAGAAAATTATTTGGGAAACTTAAAGGCAATAATTCTCCTTTAAATAGATACTAACAACTACTTCAAAAAAAAAATAAATATATATATATTAATATCTTTTTAAAATAGATGAAGAATCAACTTGAAATTTTATATTCCAATTTGTACATATTTTAAATAAGGATGAAAATAAAATAAAATAAAATAAATTTATTTGAAATCGTAATGTTCAATTCGGTTTAGATTGATTTTTTTTTATTTAATTTAGATTAAATTCAGATATTAAATATATAGATTTGATTTAGATAAAGTTCAGATAGTAAATATATAGATTAAGTTTGGATCAGATTTCGAATTGAAATATGAAAAATTGAAAAAAAAATATTGAACCTAGTTATATATTTTTATTAGTTTTTTACATATATTTTTAATTTTTATAAATAAAAATAATTATTTTATATATAAATATATTTAAATATATTAAAAATTTTATTAAAATAATATATATATAAAATAATGAATCAAACCAAACAAAACATGTTGAATTCGATTCAGATCGAATTGATTTCAAGATAAGATTTGTTTGAATTCATATTATATTTTTAAAATTTATAATATTATGTATTATTTAAAAAAATTAAATCAAATCGAATTTAATCTGAACATTTATTACCATCAATTTCAAGTATGAGTGTAATTGTTATCTTTTTTAGCTACTTCACCATTTTTAATCTAAAAATTTTATTTTCAATATTTGGTTTAGGAGTGTAAAAATATTTATGAAATGAGCAAGATAAATAGAAAAAATTAAAAAAAATGGGCCATGGGCTTTTATGAAAAAGATTTGTTTCTTCCCACCTTTCTCCAGATGGGCCATGGGCTTTTATGATAATAAATAATATAAAATTTAAGATTGGACCTCCCTTAAATTTATTTGGGCCCCGCCCAAAGATATCTTTTCATTTTTATTATTATTATTATTTTGCAAAATCTCTCTCCCCGAGGAAAATTGTCTTTTCCTCTCTCGACCACCCCTCCATTGTTGCGCCGCAGCAGTTCGGCCTTTTAGGCGTTGCCACCGTAGGCTTCACTTGTTCGCCGCTGATTCCATAGGCAGGCACGGTTGTTTATTTTTCTTTTTATTATAATTTTCTTGTATATCCAATATGTTTTGCTTTGCTTCTCTGTGAAACTAGTTTAAAACTTTTATTTTTCCACTTATCTTCATGTACCCAGATTCTATATTTTGGATAAAGAGGTAAATTACATAATTTGAGAATCTGGGTTGTGTTTTATTTGGCCATTGAGTCTGGGTTGTGTTAGGATTTGATTTCAGTTAAGTTTTGTTAAGAAAAATGTTGGGTTTCTTTTTGCACCTTTAAAGACATTGAACATTTATATCATAATCAAAGCAACCTCTTTTGTTTGGTTGTCTCTAACTTGAGTGTTTTGACCTTTGATTCTGAGTTAAAAGTTTTTTTTTTTTTTTTTGTTCCATACCATTGGCTTTGGTTATTATAATTGGTTGCAATGAGAATTTTTAGTGTTGTTTTTGACAAATTCTTGTTGCTATAAGTTCTAGTAATGGAGTCTAATTCTTTATGAATTCATTGGACATTGATTTTTTTTTTTTCAACTTTGTTACTTTCATAGTTATATTACTCTACTAAGCTTGTTTTGGAATTGTAGTTTTGTGGAAAATGAAGAAAGGATTGCACCCTCAGATGCAATGGATATCTTATGTGACCCAGAGTGGTCGATTGGTGAATGTTATGATGACAAAAATACACAGTGTTGGTAAAGTTTATCACTTAAGGGCGAAACGCCAAATGGCTGCAAGTGTAGGACAGATTGCTAAGTTTAACCGTCGTTATGGGCTGGAGAAGCCTGAGGACTCAGAGAACTCAGAGAAAAATGAAAAATGAAAAATGAATTATGAATGGTAATGAAGATTGGGTATCTGTAGTTAGATTTAAATATCTATGTTGTGGAATAAGCATGAGTGTCATTAGTGAAGTGAAGCACATTTGTTTTGCGTTTTACAAGCACTTGAATTTTAGAACATTCCTATTTTGATAAAATAGTTGTTTCAGAGATCGTTTGAGAGTTTTTGCCAATCTTTCGAGGCTTTGTTGCTTTAATATAGCATGCAACAGTTATATGTACCTCAGATTTTTGCTAAGAGTACCAAGCATTTATATACTGATTGGAAATGGTTAACGTAGTTGAATATTATCCAGTTGTACATTTCCATGAATTTATTTTTAAATTGTCGTTACTCATGAGTACTGACATCAGTTAGGGAGTAACTTCTAATATGGCGCGTCCAGGCCTGTAGTTTATTAACTCCATCTTGTTTCGTGTTTTTGATGAGGTAAAATTTAGTTTTTCATTTCTCTCATTGCTCTGATTGATACCCGAGTTTCATCTACCTATCCATATATTTGCACATCTAGGTCTTGGACCTTTTGTGTTGAGTAATATGCTTTGGAGCTTTCATCGGTGGGAAGTTGGGAATGGTTTGTAATCTGCATTTTACTGCCATGGTTTTTGCATGATGTCTGTCTTGTATATGCCTGATATCTTTCAGATGGCTTATAAGTTTGTTAATGTCTCAACTTGAACTTGCTAAAGCATGTGATCTGGTTTATGGTTGAAAGTTGAAACTACCTGACCGATCAAATCTAGATTGTACGTGTAGTGCATGCTTTTTGCGGTTCATGGAAATAGTTAGCTCAGGTTTACAACGCAGCAAGTAATGGCCTTTCTGTTTTGGAAAAACCATTATATTTGCAGGAAAAAGGTCTGGTCACGCCCTTCCATGCCTTAACAATTTGGACATACTAAAAGCAAAGGGCTTCTAAACCACATCAAACCAAGGCCTTAGATAGTATATTCATGTAAGCAAGCCAGAACTGCTTTTTACCAATTTATATCCTTCCTTGGTTTTGTGCATCTTGAAATGATCTGGTTAGCCAAGGGTTCGATCCATATATTGGTGCTATTGCCTGAGTTAGTAACATTTATGGCGGAGGCTGATAATATATCGGATATCCAAAGGACAGCTACAAAATGCAGCTGCTGGCTCATCGTCATCTTTCTCACCATGACTAGGGAAAGTCATGAACCCGCGACCGACTGGGTGTAGGTGTAGGCCATGAATATGTAGACGGGAACAACATCCACCAAGAGCTCGAGGATGCAGTATTGTAGGAACCAGTGTGTTGACCTTACCTCTGACGTTAACAACTGTGGTTTATGTGGGATTAGATGCCCATTTAACTGGCGATGCTGCCGGGATTATGTATCACTAAAGATATCAGTTCCTTGTGGTAGATGTGGAAATAGATGCCCTTAGGGGCAGGAGCGTGTGCTTCAATGGCATGTGTGGATATGCACAACCTTTACCACCATGGCCATTTCCATTGCCTCATCATCCCCCTTACTCTCAGTCACCACCATTACGTCGCCCCCCTACGATGCCTGGACACCCGACTTAGCCGCCAGGGAGTGATCAGTCGTCAGTCACCTCTAGAAGTTGGAAGTTGTTAGTCTCTTGTTTCTTCTTTGTTCCTAGATGTTTCTCGTCTTGTCTTTACTATGAATTTCACATCAGTTGAATACTAAAATTGGTCACCAATTTCATCTTGCGAGGCGTTGATGTGGACCGTAATATTTCTCATGTTGTAGTGTTTTTGTTTTGTATCCCTAAAATTAGTCAGTGCCACTGAAAAGAATATATCATACGATAGGAATAGGATGCTTCACAAAAGTTAAAAGAGCAAAAGGAATCTACAAGAAATGCTAACGTTTGATTGCTGGAAATTGTGAATTTCAATTCCGAGAAAGGTTAAACGTATACGATTGAACTTGCCTTTCATTGCAAACTCTTCATCTACACCCGGACACAGATAACAAAATCCAATAAAAATCTTTCAATATGAAAACAAAAAAGAAAAAAAAAGAGTTTATTTACATATTTTCCGCCAAAAATCTTGAAAATGAATTTTAAGACAAGCACAAAACCTTCGGGAATTTTTTCACTCTTCCCAAAGATTCCCCACTTCTCGTTCACTTTCTATATAATATATTCAAAGGGCAAAAGAAACCCTATCTTTCTCTGCTTTTCACTTCTTTTTCCCAGCACCCAAACACCACTTTCTTTCTCTTTCCTGGAAAATTCCCGGGTATATTTTCTCGGTCTTGTTTCTTTCTTTCTAATCGGTTTTGTGATTTGTACTCGTTTTATGTTATTGGATACTTTTTGTTTGTTTGGTTGATGAGAAAAAGTGGGAAATAATGGAAATTTTGAAGTGGATATTGTACTGAGAGTAAGTGGGTACTGTAATTTTCTTTTTAAATGTTTAATTTGTATGCTACTTTTTCTTGGGTTGTTTTTTGAATTTGGAATTCTGGGATATTTCTTTTGATGTGGTGATAGATGATTACTTAGAAAAGTTGTGATTTTTAATACGCTTACCATTCCAAAATCATGGTTTTATGTTACCAAGCTAATAAAATGGGGGGTTTTCATAAGTTTCTTTTTGGGGTTGGTTGGTTTTCATTATTCTAAGTGTTAAGCTTGATTAGTGTAATGAGAATGGTTGGTTTTTTAGTATACTCAATGAACGTTCATGCTTTTTGATTCATGTAAGTTTTCTTGTTTTCTATAGAAATGAATGTGGATTCATATTGTTACTTGATCAAAGATAAGTTTAACTATTGGTTTATATTTTGTTTCAGGGACTTTGAAGCTACTTTTTTTTAATTCAATTAGAATGGCTTCTTCGCCATCATTTTCTATGTGCACACTGAACAGGGACTCGTTTGCCATAAAAGCAATAAATTTCAATAAAGTGTTCAAGTGTAATGTTTCAAATCTCCTGAATAAACTGCCTGTTCAGGCTAAATTATCTGCTGACTTTATCTATTCAAGATTGTTAATCAGTGGGAAATCACCGAAATGGGAACAAAGCCAAAGGCTTTCAAGGAATGGGATGCAGTGCTGTGCGTTGGAAATTGAGGATGTACCTACATTTACAAGGGGAAAAAAGTTTCAACTCGATGATGTGATTGAAGCTCAACAATTTGATCGAGATACTCTAAGTGCTATATTTGAAGTTGCACGTGAGATGGAGAATATTGAAAAGAAATCGCCTGGAAGTCAAATTCTCAAAGGTTATCTTATGGCCACCCTTTTTTATGAGCCTTCAACTAGAACTAGACTTTCATTTGAGTCTGCCATGAAGCGGCTTGGTGGTGAAGTTCTGACAACAGAAAATGCACGAGAATTTTCGTCTGCAGCAAAAGGAGAGACACTTGAAGGCAATTTTTTTTACGTTTTAGTTAGGGTTCTTAGAAGTGGTTCCATTGGTGTTTTTCTAATCAAGTAACTTGGTATGCAGATACCATAAGAACCGTTGAGGGGTACACTGATATAATTGTGATGCGACACTTTGAAAGCGGAGCTGCTAAAAGAGCAGCAGCTACAGCGGGCATTCCTATTATTAATGCTGGTGATGGTCCTGGACAACATCCAACCCAGGTATGTTCAGAGCTTTTCCCTAATGTGATTTTGGGAAACTTATAATTGATTGTCACAACTTTGAATCCTTCAGACAGTCTTGAATGGTATTATGGCTGGGAAAGAATTGTAAATGTAAAACAGATGTGATTAAGAAAAACTAACAGTTCCTATTGTGTAATTTTTTGTTACTTCTAAGTAAATGCTATCTTGGGTAGGATTTGACTTTACTGCTTCTTAGTAGTAAATATATGGTATCTAAGCTATGGTAAAAATGAGCTATCACTCACATCGTCACCCCACCCTCGTTCACGACCCTCTCTTCTGGCATTTTATGATCCTTTCTTTGAGATTTTGAGGATGTTCTGGTATATATGTTTAGATCATACAACTCTTGATTTCAAAGATTGTTTCTTTTTTGATGTTGTGTAGGCCCTTTTAGATGTCTATACCGTAGAAAGAGAGATAGGAAAACTGGATGGCATAAGAGTTGGGCTTGTGGGAGATCTTGCCAACGGGAGAACAGTTCGTTCTCTTGCCTACTTGCTTGCAAAGTACCAAGATGTGAAGATCTACTTTGTCTCCCCTGATGTTGTTAAAATGAAGGTTAGTATTTGACAAACTCTGCTTAATGAAATCTAGATGACCTGTGTTTATTGTCAAACTGGAAGTATAACGGTTAGACTAGCTGTCAAAGATTGCTGAATTAACCTGTTAAGTAGCAAAAGGAAGTCCGAATTATTTCATCTCACTTCCGATTGCTGCCTTTTTCAGGATGACATTAAAGATTATTTGACATCAAGGGGTGTGGAGTGGGAAGAAAGTGCTGATTTAATGGAAGTGGCCTCTAAGTGTGATGTTGTGTATCAAACCCGAATTCAGCGAGAACGGTTTGGAGAGAGAATTGATCTTTACGAAGAAGCTCGAGGTAAATACATAGTGGACAAGGATGTGTTAAAGGTGATGCAGAAGCATGCTGTGGTCATGCATCCTCTCCCAAGGCTTGATGAGATCACTGTGGATGTTGATGCGGATCCAAGGGCTGCCTATTTTAGACAAGCAAAGAATGGTCTTTACATCCGGATGGCTCTTTTAAAACTATTGCTTGTTGGGTGGTGAGGAAAGCGTTCTTTTTCCTTTCCAGATTTTGACATCTATCATCTCAGCTTGCATGGGTCATTTATGTTTATCGATGAACAACATTCTACAAGTGAAAGAAAAAGTTTGTTAGTTTCCCATGTTGAGATCATAAAATGGTCGGCTTTGTTTTGCCAGAGTTTTGGTGTTTTGTTAGTAAATTAGCGTTAACAGATATTAAGATCATCAATGGTGGAATAATGGTTTTTTGGGGTTGTGTCCTCAAAAGTCAAAGTAATCTAATAATGAAATTTTAGTCCTCAAATTTCTGTTTTTTTGGATTCGCCTGGCTGGCATGGAAATCAAGTTGGATTGAGGCTGCATCTTGCAATTTAAATCTCAAAAAAAGACAAATACCCATTAAATTTTCAAAAGAGTTCACTTAAATTTGATAATGTGATGTTACAAATATTGAACATTTATGAGATTATAACAACATTTGGACCAAAACATGTTACAACACAAACATGTTTTGTACTAATACAAAGGGAAGTTGGGATCAACTTCATGGGACCAGGACTCCAATCCCCCAACAATATCGTTAGCTAAACTGAAACCCCTGTTGTGGAGGAATTGCACGGCCCTTTGTGAATTATTACCTCTTCTACATATTACATACAGGTTAGCACCCGGTCCAGTGCCCTCCTGCTCTTGCTGTTGTTCTTTCAATGCAGAAGAAATTTCAGGCAACCTAGCCTCCAAGCTTGCGAGCGGAATGTTCAAGGACTTGGGGATAGAAACTATCCTGTAATGGTGTTCTGGTCGCACGTCTACTAAAATGTCCGCTTCACCACTAGCAATCCTCTCTTTGTACTCCTTACCGGTTATTCTAGAATCAGTGGCAAGCAGTTTCAGCTTCGGGGGAGACTGAAGGCAAGTATGATCACGTATGAAGAAAAGCGTAAGTCTCAAAATATATGGCAATAAAATATGAAGTATAAAGTATTTTATCTTCGCCTTTTCTGAAGTAACATGAGTGAACCTAATTACAGAATGACTATGTCAACAGAAAAGCAAATTATGCAATTAAGAACAAGGAGGGCAGAAAGGAAGATTGCCGTTGACAATGGAGATTGAGTCAACTTCTCATAATCGAAATCCTTGAAAAGCAGTTGGTTGAATGTTGGATTTTCTCCACAAGCTTCACATTGCAATGACCCGCCTCTTATTTTGACCTACGCAATAAGAAATTCACTTATCAGAAATTAATATATATCCAGTATTCATATTTTCAAGTACAAATGGTACCAAAAGATGAAGGAGTGGGTGGATCATGCCATACAATACGAATTCGAGCTGACAAAGCATCAAACAGAAGCATCTGCCCTGAAAGTGGTTCACCAACAGCTCTTGCTATTTTAATGGCTTCTAGCGCTTGAAGACAGCCGATGATTCCAGGGACTGAAAATACGTAGATCGATAAGCATTGGAACTGAGAATACACAAATTAATATGGTAAACCCACAACTATCTGGAAATAGCAAAGAATAGAACAGATTTACCGCGAGGAATGCAGAATAATGGACTAATAGTTACTGCTGGATTGCGAAATGGGAATAATATCTTGACATACCCACTCCTAAGACTCCACTATCAGAGCATCTTTGGCAAGCAGTTGTAGAAGGTGGAGTTGCAAATAGGCATCGATAGCATGGACCTCCTTTGTAATTGTAAACTGTCAGCTACATAATAAATCAATGATGTAGTTTTGTTTGAAGCTTGAGCAAGATGTTTTAAACACACTTAATAGATGCAAACTTGTAGACTACGAAATACGGAATATGAATTATACAGCATACCTGCCCTTCCAATCCTAGTGCCGCACCTGATACTAGAGGCTTCATGTAAACACGGAAGCAATTAGCACTAAAAATTGAATAAATTAGGGACATAACACTGACTCTTTACCTTTCCCAACACAACACAGCAATCACTGATCATGTAACGACTAGGAGCATTGTCAGTTGCATCTATGACTATGTCATATCTAGGAAATGTCAGCAGTCATGGATATCACACCCCACATGACTTACCTAGCAAGAAAGGAAGAAAGAAAGAAGGAATGACATTTCTATGTCATCAACAAGGATACTGGCTCAAAATTTCCAAAGCATTAGATGCGCGCAAAACTTCTTTGTATTCAACAATCTGTAGAGTTGAGTTGATCCTGAAATTCAAATCAATATTAGATAAAAGCAAACAAAGTAAATAAAAAATGAAATTACAAGAGACTACAAACTTTATTCAACGCTACAACTTAATATTTAAGCTATTGAAATGGAGCTGGATATATTTGTAAGTTTGTAACATACGCACGACAAGCAGCAGCAGCGGACTTCACTTTTGGCCGACCAATATATGCTTCAGTGTGAATAACCTGAAGTATAGCAAATCAACAATAATAAAAGGTGAGTACCGGAAAATTCATGGTCACAATTGAAGATCACAGTGAAGAAATCTAAGAGGTATGTTACATCAGAGCTCAAACATAAAAATCGATCAATCAAAAATGATCAATGCTCTAAGTTAATGCTTCAATAACAACAAAATGAATAACCATATGCAGCTTATTCCATTCAATTTAGCACTACCATTTGCCACCTTCAATTTCAATAGAAGAAAAACAAAGTTTGAGGGTGTAGGAAACAAAGGATGAAGATTCAGCAGTATTGACACTATGATTCATGAGTACACCATGATTAGAACTTAGCCATCAGACCATAAATAATAACATGAACCTACTTTCAGTTGCAAAGTTTACAACTTAGACCTGCCTGTGCATATTATTAAGCTCAACCACATCATGATCCACAATTCCCAATCTACCTAGAAATCAATGAACAAAATACGCGAAATCCCTTTTCAATCCCGCGGCCAAAAGAACTAAATGAAATCTCAGGTATGCCTCAAAATGCTGCATCCTATTCTTACCAACACCACAAGCTGCAAGATATAACAGAGCCGGCGAGCCTAAGCCTCCAGCTCCAACAACCAATATGGACGACTTCAAAAGATTTGATTGTGCTACAAACCACACCAAGAAACTTAATTACTCAAAAAAAAAAAAAAAAACCTTCTACCTGATTCAAAGAGAATTAAAATAACCCAGATATTTTCTCTTCTTTCCCTCACAAACATGCCAATTTCCTTTCAAATATCAATTTTTTTTTTAATACAGCTTAGCATAAAAAAATTAACTTTAAGAAACTTCTCATTGAGATTAAACAAATACGTTTCACTCAATTTAATAACGTAATTAGCCATAAGCAACCATAATTTTACATAATTAAATAATTAACGTCAAAATACAAAAAATATGAATTTTTCTTTTTTTTACCTTGGATTCCAAAAGAAGGAAGCAAAAGATGGCGGCTGTAACGGTAAATACTATCCGCCGACAGACCTGTGCCAGGTTGGCATCAATGGCAGAGATTGGAGGACAAGAACCATTGCCAACGCCGTCGTTTTGCTGCTGCTGAGTTGCTCTTGACGCTGTTTCTTTGAGCCGAGCTTCGAGGATTGAAATCTTTTGCTCTATCCGGGCTTTCTCGTCGTTTAAAGCTTCGATTTCGAGGCGGGTTCGTGCCACGTCGTCGCCGTTTGACTCCATCCTCTAGCAGCTCTGATGACTGAAGACTGAAGACTTTTTTTCGGAAACACAAACAGGAACCTAAGCAGCGTACTTCGGTTAGTTCGTACTTGACCAAGGGTAGTTTTGTCAAACTAAAATTTTGAGTTTAACACGTATAGAAATAATAATATGCGGCCGGTTTCTCATGCAATTGCTTTAGTAACATTTTTTTTTAGAACTTATATTAGTAAATTTAATTTTTCTTGAGGAAATATTTTTTTGGCTTCTCAAGTAGGAAAGTTCGACAACGTGATTTATACGAAATTTCGTGTTAATTTGAATTAATTGATTTTGAAGTAATATTATATTCTATCTTCGAATAAAAAAACAAATGTGATTTATCCCCGTCAACTGCAAGCAATTGGTTTATCAAAGATGGTGACTGGCATCCCAAGTAAAGGGCACCTGTGCGTCGCATTGGATGGTTTCCTATATCAAAAAGTTTGGGTGCATGTAGTTTATGCTGGACTCCCTTGACTTAAATTATTACTGAATTATTTTAAAAATTATTTTGATAAAAAATTTTTAATTTATTTTTTTTAAATAAAGTTTGAGCACTAAAAAAATTTTTCAATAAATAAAAAAAATAAAAAAAATTATTTTTCAAACACCGAAAATAAGACTGTTTATATTAAAATAAATATATAACACATAGTTAATTAGTATCGTTTTAAACGGGTATTGTGGGGATGCTAATTCTTCTCTACACGTAACCGACTCTCGAACTCAGATCGTTACGCAGACCCTAAAATTATCCTCTTAATAAATTTTAATTAATTTTAAGATTTCATTAAAATGATATACTTTAATAGGTGGTCAATTACACCTAGCCCAAAAAAATTGGTAGTGACTCTGTTAGTTTTTATTTCGTTTTCAAATTCGTCGAGTGGATATAAAATCGTTACGATAGCTTGGTGACTCCACTGGAGAGACCATTTATTTTTTAGAGTCAAGCCAAAATTAACTACATGTTATCTTTAAATTTTGATTTAAACAGTCCTAATTAATTTATTAGATTTTTATTTTTCACTTTCAATAAAAAAAAAAGGTAAAAAACAAAACAAATTGAAAACAAAAAGAAAAAAATCACACACATTTCTTTTACTATGCCTCTTATGCTTTATTTTTTTGTATATATTACTCTTGATAGATTAAAAAACATGTAAACACACAATGACACGATGCACCTCAATACATGAGCTCTATACCTGGATTTCGTTTCTTATAAGAAGAAGTAAAGTACCTATGCCATCATGAGGTGATAACCTTCGCAATGATAAGTGAAATACTTTCATTCAAATTGAACCATTTTCATTCGTAACTTATAATGAGTGAGGATTGGGATGCTTTACTAGTGCAATGTGGACGACAGTGAGAAACAATTTGGGAACCTTTAGACACGTGTCAATCTAAACCTAGCATGTAATAAGTCTAGAAAACCAGCTTTAGATAGAGCTTCATCCACCTTCTTGTAGGAAATACTTATGTCTAATACAAAACAAAACAAAAAATCTCAAAAACACAAAAAATATTTTTTCTCAAACCACATCCTCACACTAACTCGATTTTGTTTATTTTTTTTTCCTTTTTGCATAATCATGTCATACAATTCTGCATCAAGGTATTTGTTCTAGGATATCTTTCTCTCAAGAAGTTTTACATAGATCTTATAGAACTATAGATTCGCTCAAATCTCATGTAACAAAAGTTGTATGAATCAATGAAAGTTTCTAGTGTTGAAATTTATCCAAGAGCAAATATCTCCCACTTGCATTCATGCATCACATGCACCATTTTTTTAAAAAAATAAAAAATCAAAAAATAAAATTTTTAACGCATGGCATTCTAATTTTAAAAATTTATGATAATAAATGTTCAAAAATAGCTCGTCCACCAAAATTTTTGACTCAACCTACCTATCATTCATACAACATCAGAGCTCGAACAAGAATCATGGAATAAGAATCATGGAATAAGAACAAACTAGTCAATTTGAGAGGATGGAGAAGGCTCAAGAAAAACTAAAATAAGATATTGATAAGATAATGGATATGCTTAAGAAGCTTGATAAAGGAAAAACGATGGAAGGAAATTTCAGTTTTCAAAAGCAATTGCCAGACATAATGGATCTTATTTACCCTTCAAAGTTTGAGTTATGACCAACCCTACCTTCTCAAGGAACCAAAGTGTAAATTTTTACTCCCGGAGGATATTTCAATCTTTATCCAGGAATGACATCTACACCTACTCTAGGACAATTTCAAAATTTTATCAATCCTGTTATGAAGGAAAAACCACTTGAGCCAATCTTGGTTTCTGATTTGGATGATCTTAATGAGAGAGAAAAAACAAGGATAAAGATACCTGAGAAAGTGAAATATACCAGTGCCCAAGAAAAGATAAAGTTATTGAAAGAAAGGCTTAGAACCGTAGAGGGAATGAATTTTTATGGCTCAATGGATGCAGATGACCTTTGTTTAGTCCCAGATGTGATCATTCCACTAAAATTTAAAGTCCCTGAATTTGAAAAATATAATGGCATAAAATGCCCAATGACTCATGTCACTATGTATTGTCGTAAGATGACGGCACATGCTCATGATGAAAAGTTGTTGATGTCCGTATTTTAGGATAGGCTTATGAGATCTACAGCTAGATGATATGTCTAACTAGATAGGACTCATATTTATTCCTGGCAAAAGCTTATTAGGGCATTTCTTACACAATATCGACATGTCACGGATCTGGTTCTAGATTGTCTATCTCTATAAAATACAAAAAAAAATAACAAAAAGTTTTAGAGAGTATACACAGAGATAGAAAGATGTGGCTGCACAAGTTCAACATCCTTTCATCGAGAAAGAGATAACTATCTTATTTGTGAACACTCTGAAAATATCGTACTATGAGATATTGATAGGCAATGCAACCAAGAACTTTACAGACAGGGTGATATAGGGTGAGATTATTAAAAATGCTATAAAAAATGGCAAGCTCAATGTAGGAGAGATAAACGAAGTAAAAAAAGGTGAAGCCCCCAAAAAGAAAAAGAATGAAGCCCAAGCAGCGAACTATATGGGATAATAGTTTGGAGGTTTCACTCCACACCCTACACCAATAAAAAATGTCACATCCATCCCTTATCCTTGTCAACCGTATCAATCGCTACAACAACCAGTTTGTACACTTTATTTTCAATCATTTTTTTAGATACTCAGCTATTCATACAACCATTTCATTGCACCTACCATATCAGAATAAAGATCCAATCTAGGTAGTGATCCAAGAACCTCAAGAAATACCAAAAAAAGAATCATGTTTGACCATATTCTCATATCTTACATAAAATTTTTACCCTAACTTATCCAGAATTGACTTTTGAAACCTGTGCATCTAAAACCCCTTCAACCCCCTTATCCAAAATGGTACGATCCTAATGCAAAATGTGATTACTATAATGAAAATCAAGGTCACTCAACAGAGAACTGTCATACAATGAAATACAAGGTTAGAGACTCATTAAAGCTAAAAAAATAGAATTAAAAACTAACAGTGATCATCGTGTTGTTGAAAACTCTCTACTTGATATATTGAAAAAAAGATAAACCAAGGGTGTTAAAGCATTGATGTGATGGATAGATAAGGAATTGGAGAATGATTATGCGACTTTTCTCGAGAAATGATGGATATTTCATTTGGTGTTGCAAAGAGGTGGATTGATTCAAAATAAAAAATGTGCCCTTTTTGTTTCCTTTTTCACTTCTGTATTAAACATGTGTATGAACTTCATAACTTGTTGTAGACACTGATTTTATCCAGATTTATTGTTTTAATTTTAATAATAATAGTTTTTTTTAAAAATAATTATTAATTATTAATTATAATAAATAAAAATAAAAAAATAAAAAGAGAAACAAAAAAATAGAATGTAGGGTGGCTGGCGTTGCTGTCGCCCCCGACCAGCCACCCTACAGCCCCCTGTTAGCCCACTGATGCCCCCTGAGCAGCTCCCTTTTAGCCCACCTACAGTCACCCTACAGCCACCTAAATCCCCCTAATTGAAGCCCTTTAAAATTCCAGCCATAATCCCCCTTTAATCTCTCTTTGAACCCCCCTCTAAAAAAAAAAAGCATTCGAATATACTACCCTCAGCACCCTCTCGTTTCGAGCTCAAACACCAAGCCAAACTCTTCATTCAACAACCCCAAACACCCCACAAAATACCTAAAATAGAAACGCAAAAACAGAAACAAAAACCAAAGATAAACAGTCCTCCCCGTAGGGAGGAACCTTAGCGCTAAGCTCCTTGCAAAAGCAAAGAAATCATCAGTTTCTTTCAAAAAAAAAAAAAAGAAACTGAAAGCTTCAAGCCTCGATCTACTTCGATCGGGGCTGTTTCTGGTAAAACGAACTTCAGATTTGGTAAGATCTCGTTGAAAGGAGCTTCTGGAAAGGTTTTGGTGTTTTCAATCGTCGGTGACCACCGACGACAGTGGACCAGGTGGCGGTCGGCGCAGTGCTCTGGTGGTCGGACGGCAAGACGACCGGAGCTCTCCCCCTAGAGTTCTCTCTCTCTCTCTTTTTCTGAAACAGAAAATAATGAACCAAAAAAAAATCTGTAGCTATATATAGGAAAGCAAAATTCAAAAACGACGTCGTTTAGGGAAAGACTCAAAATGACGTCGTTTTAACCAAGAAGGATCCGCGTGTGGACCCGAATTCGATCGAGATCTATGCAAATCGACCCGCCAACCCGTTTCAGCCAACTTTGAATCGGTCTGAGCCGATCCGAATCGTAGACCGCTCAGCCGAACCACGCGTCGATCTGACCCCTTTTCGATCCAGCCGAACTGGTCGTTGACCTGTCTGGTTCAGGTAAAAAAATTTTTTTTTTTGAATTTTCTAATTTTTTTCATATATTATTATTTTTGTTATTTTAAGTATATTTTTATTTATGCATAATAAATTTCTAAATTTGTTAGAATAAATGTTTAATTGTTTTAATAATAATAAAATTAAAAACAAGTAATAACTAAAAATATGTATTAAAAATACTCA